CATGAAAACTTATTTGTAATGTAGTCTGTATATTTGTATATAATTAAACATCGATTATATGTTTTGAATTAATTGATTTATTCATTCAAGGAATCGAGTTAAGGTGAAAAATCCTCAAAAATTGACCCAAGATGAATTAGCGGCTATAGCCCAAGTTATATGTGATACGGATACCGAGGAAGAAGTTGGAGGAGAAGGAGATTCTGATGGAAGTGAACAAGTAGAGGAAGAAGCACACAATTCGGATTCAGAACAAGAAATAAGCGAACTAGAAGAAGTGGATGAAGTGGATGTTGATCAAAGTAGTTCTGATTCTGAAGATATCCTGCTCTCGGTGTTAGCGGCCAATAAACAAGATAAGTATATTGGCAAAGACAAAAAGACTATTTGGTATAAAAATTATCCCATGAGTAAATCCAGCAAGTCCAAAATAAAAAACATTATAAAAATACTACCAGGGCCAAAGCAATGCGCACGTGACATAACCGATGAGACAAGTGCGTTTTCGAAAATTTTTGATGATGAAATGATTGAACATATTATTCACTGTACTAATTTAGAAATTTCAAGAGTTAGGGAAAACTATGATCGAGAACGAGACGCAAAGGACGTTACAAAAACGGAAATGCTGGCTTTTATAGGCTTACTGTTTTTATCTGGATCTAAAAAGCAAAACCACACCCATTTTTTGGAATTATGGACAAAAGACGGTACCGGATCAGAAATATTTCGAGCTTGCATGAGTTATCAAAGGTTTCTTTTTCTGCTGGCAAATATTCGATTTGATGACAAAACAACAAGGCATGAACGCAAGAAAATAGATAAATTGGCCGCAGTGCGGTACGTTTTAGATAAATTTGTAAGTAATTGCAAAAAAAACTACTCTATGGGCGAATTTATGACAATAGACGAAATGTTGATTGCGTTCCGAGGACGATGCAGCTTTGTCCAGTACATACCAAACAAACCTGCGAAATATGGTTTGAAGGCATTTGTGCTCTGTGATGCTAGAACATTTTATGTGAGTAATTTGGAGCTGTACTGTGGAAAACAACCAGATGGCCAATATAGCCAATCTAATACACCAACTGCCATCGTACACCGTTTGCTAGCAGAACAAAAAGGAAGCAATAGAAATCTAACCTCCGATAATTGGTATTCAAGTTACCCTTTGGCAGTGGAACTTCTTCAAGACAAAATAACTTTCATCGGAACCCTGAAGAAGAATAAGCGAGAGCTGCCGATAGAGTTCTTGCTAAATAAAAATAGGTTGGTTGGGTCATCACTTTTTGGATTCCAAAAGGATGTAACGATAGTTTCACATGTCCAAAAAAAAAATAAATGCGTGGTTTTGATTTCAACTATGCACGACGACTCCACACAAAGGGGGTGTGGACACAGTGGACAAAATGTGCAATACTTATTCTGTTGGAAGAAGAACAAAAAGGTGGCCATTGGCTTTCTTCTTTCAGTTGCTAAATATAGCAGGCATCAATAGCCAAATTTTGTATAACGGCACTCACCCTGAATCTCCTCACAAGTCCAGAAGAATTTTCCTGAAAACTCTTGCTCTGTCATTGATGAAACCTTTTCTTTCTGAAAGAGCTGCAATACCTACGTTACCTATAGATATCAGACATTTCCTATCCAGATATAGACAAACTCAAATGGATGAAGAAGAGGAGCCACCCAGAAAAATTAGAGGAAGATGCTCCATCTGCGCCCGAAAAAAAAATAGAGTTACCACAATTACATGCAGCATTTGTCACCAGTTAGTGTGTAAAGAGCATAGTGTCAACGTTATCACCTGCCACAAATGTAAGGAAGGCGGATCCCATAGTGAATAGAGAATTATTAATTATGGTTGTTTTTTTCAATTTATTTTTACTGTCTTATTTGATTTTGTTTACTATTTTTGCTAATAAATATGTATTTGAGTTCAACAGTTGCTCTTATTACCACAGCTATAACTTATAGGGCAAACAAAACATATATTTGGATCATAACTTGCAACGGTGTACAAAATACACCGCGCGAGTAGTAACGTGAAATAAAAATGCGCGAGTAGTTAAAGGTTAAGTGTAGATGGGTTCAATTTTGACGGTACAACTTAGCAATTCAGTCTATTTTGATTTAACCCTTAACCACCCACCTGGCGGAAAATGTTTATTTCTGTAATTTGACCTCCTACAAATTAGTCACGCCAGCTAATAGCGGCATTCACACGTACACTCAATCACGCGTTCTTGGAACGTCCAATCGCGCGCGAATGAACGTGTGAATGGTAAGGCTAAGCACATAGTGGAGCGGAGAGCAAAGCAGCGATGAGAGCGGCGAGCAAAGCAGCGAAATTAAGTTACGTTTTTTAAATCTGAACGCACATAGTGAGGCTAACGTCGGAGATGCGATAAGCGCTGTTATAGTCGAGCAAAGCAGAGCGTTCAAACAAATTTGTTTTTTTTGCTGTAATCGCTTATAGTATACATTGAAAAATGAACACCGAAGAACTAATAACTAGTATTTTTATGAAAAAAGCTCTCTGGGATCAAAAGGACCCTCAACACCATAATCGATTTATATTAGATAAGTTGTGGGATGCGGTGGCCAAAGAAATGAACTCTACAAGTAAGTGCTTATAACAAATATTTATTCAGTTTTACAGCGATAATATACATAGTTATTTGGCTTCTCAAATTTTATTTTGACATAAAAACATTTTGTAAGTTTCCCTAACAAAATTCGCAGTATCAGTTGATCTGTTATTTTGTCGGGATCCGTCTGCTGTTTCAGAATGTGGCATTACTATTTCATTTTTAATATCTAATCCTTCCTTGTCGATTATATTATGTAATAGGCAAATACATTTAATAATTTTATCAGCCCACTCCGGAGAGATTTCTATAGGTTTCCAGAGAATGCGAAATTTAGCATTGATGATGCCAAATGCACATTCTACCGTCCTCCTTGCTCTTGAAAGCCGCATATTAAAATACTCTCTATCAACATCCAAATTTCTTCTGTTGTAAGGTTTAAGCAGATTTCTCAATAATGGATACGCTTCATCCCCAATAAACACATAAGGAGCTACAACTGCGCTTGAAGGTAAAACACTATCTGGGGGAACGTTCAGACGTCCAGTATCTAACAAATGAAACAAGGAGGAAGAACGGAAAGTACCCCCATCACTCTGCTTTCCGTATCCCCTAACGTCAATTGTAACAAACTTACAGTTTGCGTCAGCGACTGCTTGAAGTACAATGGAGAAATAATTCTTATAATTATAGTACATACTTCCCGAGTGATGAGGACATTTTATTCGAATGTGCTTCCCGTCGATAGCTCCTAGACAGTTAGGGAAATTCCATTTATCATAGAATTCTTTGGCAATTTGTGTAAACTGTTGTTCGGTGGAAATTTTCATATGTACAGGCTGTAATGATTCCCAAATTACTACCACTGTTTCTCGAACAATTGAGGAAACTGTTGAAGCTCCTACTCGATAGGTGAATCCCAGGCTTTTAAATGAGGAGCCTGTGGCTAAATATCTGGAAAGAGAAAAAATAGTCGTTCAACTTAATTATCTTTTGTGACAAAATATATAGTTGTTTTTTTTATTGTAGTGACGCTACCAACGCAAATTTTATGCATTAAGTAGCTAAAGTGTCATACTACGATTGTACAGAATTTTGACTTCCACTTCGTTCCAGAACAAAAGTGTAAACAAAATTTGGCTGTGTTAATTCCATTGATAGAGAATAAAGAAGCACTGTACATTAATGCTTAAATATTTTATTTTAGGAAATGTTGTGAGAGGCAAATGGAAAACGCTTCGGGACAATTTTCGTAAAGAGATGAAAAAAATACCGGCGAAACGGTCTGGAGACGGGGCTGCTCAATCAACTGTTTCATCTTGGCAATATTTCGACAGCCTATGCTTTTTGAGAGATCAGTTTACTGTACGATCCAGTGGTGGTAATTTACCTAATGAAATGGCCGATACCATTTTGAATGAAGATACTGAGACTGAAGTTGATGATTACGAAAAATCTGTAAATGAAAGCCAGTTACCTTTAGAAAACGAAAATATATCAGCCACGACCCCCGGCGCGACTCTCACTAAGCCTAGCAAAGTGAGAAAACAACAAAACGATAAAGATATCGGCACGGCCCTTGTTAGAATTGAGGAAACTAAATTAAAAATGTTACAAAATCAGCAAGTAAGAACCGTCGATGAAGATTCAAATTTTTTTGGTAGCTTACTTCCTCAGGTTAGAACACTTCCACCGCGCAAGAAAATGCTATTGAGAATGAAAATGCAGGAGCTGGTCTACAATTTCGTTTACGGAGGTGAATCAAATCCTTCGCAAAATCAGTACCAAAACTCTTCAGAAATTTTATGCAGCACACCACAGGAGCCTATGGCCTACCATGTTACGGAGTTGCAAACTGTATCCCAGGAATATTCAAATCCCACCTCTGTTGCCTCCTATCTAAGCAATTTCTCCGATAAAACTCTTCACTAGCTTTACAGTATTTACTAATTATATAAGTTTGAATATTTGGTGTACCTACTTACCTCAAAGTAATCGTAAGACGTTCTGTAGGACTTATAGGATTTAAATTAAAATTTGTCCAGTTCTTTAATAGCTTATTTTCTATTCTCCCCAAAATGTAGTCAAATGTTGCAATACTCATTCGGAAATAAGCATGGAACTTTGCTGGATGTTCTTGCAACTCACTGTATAGGTGGTGAAATTCACCAAGTGTATGCCTACTACGGTTTATCTCATGTACAATGCAGCTTCTGGGCTTTTTCTTATTATTTAGTAAATACCATATTTTTAAGCAAGAATTTTCAATTAACAATTCCATCTCGTTGAAAGACACTCGCTTATAAACTCGTCAGTATATGCCACCTTCACTTTCATCAACTCGCTGTTCCGTTTACTCGTTGCTCGCCGCTCTCATCGCTGCTTTGCTCTCCGCTCCACTATGTGCTTAGCCTTATACACGCCAAACGTGTCAGAAGGCACGCTGCACTTGTCGCTCCAATCACGCGGGACTAGCTTGGCTTTATTTTTTATGTGCGTGCGGCGAGGTACGGCGGTTTTAGAAATGGCTGACACCCGTTATTGGTAGAGAGATTTCATGATTAACTTCATAGAAGGGTACAAAGCAAATCCATGTTTATGGAAAATTCGTTCGAAAGAATATACCAATAAAAATTTAAAAAATGAAGCATAGGACAAATTAGTTAAGCTGTGTAAAAAAAATTCAGAGCTCTCGAGGATCTTTTCGAAAAGAGGTCAAAAAGGTAGAAAAGTCCAAAAGAAGTGGTGCTTCTGCTGACGACGTCTACATATCTTCATTGTGGTATTATGATTTGTTACTCTTTACGAAGGATCAGGAAATGCCGACTAACAGTATAAATAATATTGAAGAAAATGAAATTGAAGGGCAAATTTTGGAGCAGGAATTACCAGAATATCCTCGACCTACAGAAGTAGAGGAAAATATTGAAGGCACCACACAAGTAAGTTTACACAGTATATTTAGTTCTCATTATCGTACATTTCACATAACATATTTACCAACTTAAGCTTAGTTTCATTTTTAATTTTAAAAGTTTAAAGTTGCCACACATTACACCGATAAATTTACGCACTAAAAATGCGTTTTCAGTAAAAACGTCGATGGGATACCACATGTTTAACTTTACGCATTGCAAATTAAAAATTACACATTAGTTATTAAATTATGGGTAAACTAGGTTTAGTATTTTATGCATAAGTTTGCTACTATGCGAAATCCATTTCATATATGTCCTGGCTCTATGCTTTTCCTTTTCGAAGCATTTCATCTTGAAATTCTATCCGTCCATCTCCATTGAAATAATTCATATAAGCTTCACTGACCTCTTTTGCTAAAGATGTAACATTTCTTGGTATTCTCAATTGTAGGCTAGTCAGTTCTACACTTTCGCTTCTCCCGTCCTCCATTTGAACCTGGCCATTAGTATTACAATAGTTATCAAACGTGAAATTCTTTGCATACGGTGTTTTTAGTTTTATCAAAAAATTGTGAAATGTGCAAATGGCTAACGCTACATATATTATTTTGATTGGAGCCATGTTTATTGCTGTGTGCAGAATTCTGAATTTCGCAGCTATTTGCCCAAATGCATTTTCTGACACATTCCTAGCTCGGGATAACCTATAATTAAAGATGCGTTTCTGGTAATTTAGATCCTTTTGTGGAAATGGTTTGAGAAAATGTTCACCCAGGCTAAATGCTTCGTCTCCAAGGAACACATAGGGTAAATTATTTTTTGTTTCAGTTTCATCTGGTAAATTTAGTTCCGACTTCAGCAACTTTCTGTAGAACTCGGTATATTCAATTACACCACCATCGGATAGTCTACCGTTTTTTCCAACGTCAACAAAAATGAATTCGTACTTGGAGTTCACCAGGGCCATCAAAACAATTGAATAAAAATTCTTATAATTATAATATTGTGCTCCTGAGTGAGGAGGAGGGACAATCCTTATATGTTTGCCATCTAAAGCACCTCCACAATTGATAAACTGCCACTTATTTTCAAATCCTCTAGCAATATCAATCCATTCTTCTTTACTAGTCGGGAACTAAAAACAAAAGCACTAATTAATGAACTAAAATTAAATTAATATTTTTTTTAGAGTACTGGATCGCCATCCACAAGTACATTAAAGAAAAAAGATAATTGTCAAAGAGCAAATAAGAGAAAAGTACATGTTTCCACTGAAAGCAAGTAATTTGTTGATTTTTGCAAAACAGCATTGGGCTCTCAACCAAGTATGCCTATTACCGAATTTGACGCTGCCAAGAAATTGCAGAGAATGCAACCAACTCAAGCAATATACGCGGAGAGTATGATTAATCAAGTACTAACAAAGGGTTTGTTGGGTACTTTATCACAAGAAACTAATATATCTGATGGATTTAAACCACCTCTCTCAACAGACTGCAGCAGTAACATCTCACGTCCAGCAAGTTCATGTTCTTACACACCTGGAGAGGTTTGTCATTCCTGGCAGACGCAGTATTCACACCACACAGCAACTGCAGTTGCAGATAATAATTTCCAGGATACTACTGCTGCATTATTTTATGAGAACTCTTCTGATTTTATAAACAATACAAAATAAGATCTTCTTAGTATTACTAGTTTGTTTGTTAATGCATTTGATTATATTATATTGATTCGTATCGAACGTGGTAAGCAGAACAACGGACCGGCTAGCGGGACGTTGTAGTTAATTTTTCTAGAGGACATAGACAATAAATAATTTTATGCTTCAGTATACGTGGAAGTGCGTAGTGTCTGCATTTTCGTGTGAGTTAGGTATGTGAATATCGTCTGTTGTCTTTGATCTATTGCAATTTCTACATAAGTAGTTATACACTAAGGTCTATTTTTGTCTGCACTCCATCTATATTTTTTTTTTGCTCTGACAAAAATTCCACGAAGCAAAAACCTCATCCACGCTGTACTAATAAATAGCTCAGGGAAATTGGGTGTATGTTTTCGTCATGGCACCCGATGTCGAGCTGTGTAAGGTATGCGAGAATAATTTTATAGTGAGTACTAAAGCAATTAACTGTAGTATTTGCGCATCTAAATTCCACACTTCTTGTGTCTCAGTCAAAGACAGCTGGATAAAAATAATATCAGAGTGTGAAAATCTGCTCTGGGTCTGTGATGACTGCCGTTGCTTCCTATATAAGAAATGTGATTCATCTAAAACTGAGACTAGTATCTTACGAAAAGAAGTTGAATGTCTAAATAGGGAAATGGAGCTTACAAAGCGATTGATGTCGGAACTGGAGTACTCCAGTGAACTACAGAAAACCTTATTGAAGTCTTACGAAAATAATGTTTATGTGACACCAAAAATTGCATTGCAACCAAATCCAAGCACATTTAGCGATATTTTAAAGAAACCATCTACCGCTAGTTCATCTGTGTTGCTGATCAAGGCAGATGCAGTGGAAAATGCTGATAGCAAGAATATTTTCCAAGAAATCACGTCATCTGTTAACCCAGCTAATCTGAACGTTTGCATCAACTCCACTAAACGAATAAAGAATGGTGTAGCGGTTCACTGCAAAGATGACAAATCACTTAACACGCTCAAAACCAGTCTCAATAACAAACTTGGATCAAAATATTCCATTACCCAAGCCAGGAAGCTGAATCCTCGCATGCTTGTCAGAAATGTAAATTTGGAGGGCTTAAATTCGCCTGAGGACATAGTAAACAATATTATTTCCTTAAATAGTTTCGCAAACATTCAGCAGACTGACATAAAATTTGTCACGAAGCTGAAACACTTCAACAGTGTCAACATAGTCATTGAAGTTACACCGGCAGTGCGGAAAGTTTTACTTCAAGAGGGCTTTGTGTTCTTAGGATGGAAGAAGTCTCTTGTAAGCGATCACCTTCATATTGTGAAGTGTATAAAGTGCCACTCATTCGGTCATTCGGCAAAGGAATGCAAATCCACGGAAATAATATGTTCAAAATGCTCGGGAAGTCATATGTTAAAGGATTGTAAGTCTGATGTTTCAAAATGTATAAACTGCCTGAACTATAACAGAACAAAGAAAAAAAATATTCAATGTGACCATGCCACAAATTTTAGAGGTTGTCCAATGTACCAAAACTATGTACAAAACCTAAAAGAAAGAGTCGACTATGGCTAATCTATCTACTGATATGAATAAAAATAAAAACCTTAAAATAGCAGTATTAAACATCAGATCGCTTTTAGTCAAGTTTGTCGATTTCAAAAACACTGTGGTCAATTCCCAGGATTGGGACATTATTGCATTAACTGAGACCTGGCTCAATCAAAATGTAGACAATGATCTCATATCTTTGGATGGATTTACTCTTTTTAGGAACGATCCAGTTGACTCCAGAGGTGGCGGTGTTCTGATTTATATAACAAACAAAATTAGATGCAGCGTTATTGAATCACCTCTTCAGTTGAACAATTGTGGGTTACATTCAAAATTAAAGCGACGAGTTTTTGCTTTGGAGTCGTTTATCGGCCTCCTAAGTGTAACGTTTATGATTTTATCAATCAGTTTCAAGATTCACTTAGTTTGTTATATCCGAGATACGACAAAATGATTTGCACTGGCGATTTTAATATTGATTTTCTCGATAAAAATAGTAATGCTGTGAAGTTATTTGATGATTCGTTGAATAATTTTGGTTTGCATCAAATAGTAGCTACGCCGACCAGATTTGGAGTCTCCTCCGAAACGTTGCTAGATCTCTTTTTTTGCTCTGATGATATTCCAAGTACTTGTGATGTATGTAATGTACCAAATTTGTCTGATCACAGTTTGATATCTATAGTCCTTGAATATGAGGTAGAAACCAAACAACCTGTACTACGTAGCTACAGAGATTTCAAAAATATCAACCAAGAATCTTTTAAGACTGCTCTGGATGAAGTAGACTTTATGCAGATAGTTTATTGTCAGGATATAGATACGAAATTAAATATATTTAATCAATTGGTTTTAGAGCTATTTGACAGATTTGCACCCTATCGAATGGCAAGGTTTACGAAAAAACCAGCTCCGTGACTGACTGATAACATTAAATTTCTAATGAAACTTAGAGATGACAAATTCACTGCCTATAGGAAATCAAGGTGCGATCAGAAATGGGAGGAATACAAAAAGTTACGTAATATAGTAAAATTAGCAACTGATAATGCTAAAAAGATTCATTTGGAACATAAAATTAACAGTACGAACTATAAGACTCTATGGAAAGATTTAGAAGCTATGAACTTTGGCAATAAGACACCCAGGTCATCTATCCCAGTTGATTTAGCTGATGTTGACAAAATGAACCGGTACTTTACGTCTTTATCTAGTGCAGGTATAGAACCTGATGCTGATACATTTTCTTTTTATAAAAATAATGTCAAACCAAATGTATCCCTCTTTGAATTCGCTTTGGCGTCCACAGATCAGGTGAAAGATACTTTGTTTGGCTTCAAAAGCAAAGCATTTGGTGCTGATTTGATAAATACCGAAATGCTGTTGTATTGCTGCCCCAAAATTATTCCTTTCATGACACATATCATTAATGAATGCATATTGCGTCGCTATTTTCCTTTTTGTTGGAAGCACGCTTTGATTGTGCCTTTGCCTAAAGTTGCTCAGCCATCTGAGCTCAAGGATTTGCGTAATATTAGTATATTGCCAACATTATCTAAATTGCTTGAATCAATAATGGATGTTCAGATAAGAGAACACTTAAGAACGAATAACCTCATTATAGATACACAATCAGGGTTCCGTCCGGCGCATAGCTGTACAACAGCATTGCTGGGAGTGGTGGATGATGTATTGTGCAGTGCTGACAAAGGTAACCTGACTGCCTTGGTGCTCTTAGATTATACGAAGGCATTTGACAGGATACATCATGACCTACTCTTAGCCATGCTCCACTTTTACGGATTCTCGGCCGATGCAGAGTCTCTAATGCGAAGCTACTTCAGCGATCGACAACAGCAGGTAATGCTGAATGATAAGTACTCTGCGCCATTGAAAGTGACCATTGGTGTTCCTCAGGGCTCCATTCTGGGTCCGCTAATGTTCATTATTTACACCTCTAATCTATACTTCAGTCTTCACTCTTGTAAAGCTCATTTTTATGCAGATGATACACAAGTGTACTTATCATTTCCTCCAGCTCAAACATTGCCTGCTGTTGATCTGATAAATAAAGACCTTGATCGTCTCACTAAAGCTTCTCGAAATATATGCTTAGACTTGAATCCGGCTAAAAGTACAGTCATGTTATTCGGGCCAAAAAATTGGAGAAACCATTGTGAACCTCTGGTGAAAATAAACCTCGATAACAATACTTTAGAAATAAGCTCGATAGCGCGTAATTTAGGCTTATACCTTGACAAAAACTTGAGGTTTGAGGAACATGTTAACAAGTGCTCCAGAAGGGCGTATTCTAATTTAAAGACGATATACGGTCAAAAATCTTACATCAACCAAAAAACTAAAGTCATACTGTGCAATTCTCTTGTTTTGTCGCATTTTAACTTCTGTGATGTCGTCTATGACAAATGTCTAACTAAATTCACTTCAGATAAAATACAACGCGTGCAAAATTCTTGTCTGAGACTTATTTTTGGTTTGAGTAAATTCGATCCAGTGTCAGCAAAGCTTACTGATGCTGGCTGGCTGAACATGAAGCAACGCAGGCTGCTTCACAGCCTCGTATAATACCATAAGATTATTATACAAAAACTACCTTCCTACTTACACGAAAAAATTCATTTCCGTTACTTAGCTCACAATCGCAATACCCGCAACAAAACTAAACTGACACCGCCTTTTCATTCTACCACCTTATTCGAAAGATCTTTTTCGTATAATATCAGCAAACTTTATAATAATATCCCGCGAGAGTATACTTCTCTTTCTATTGATTTGTTTAAAAAACGTATACGCTGCTACATTGCAGGGAATTGCATGGTTTGACTTTGGAGGCATTATGTATTTTTATAGTACCATTTTACAAATTAGCCGCTAGGGTCCATTCTCTGATACTGCTTATACATGTGTGTATGTATATGTGGGTATATATGTGTATATATGTATATGTATGTGTATGTATGTGTATATATGTATATGCTCTTTATCTCATTTTTATATATATGCTTACCTTATTATGATATAAACCTAAAACCAGGGGTTAAGTGGAAGAGCGGATAAGCCGAACTTCGCCCCTCCCACTATATGTCTTATAAGACTGGTTTTGCAACTTGTTTTGTATTTTCTTTGGTGGGAATAAAGACATTATTATTATTATTATTATTATTTATTGAAATAACGTTCATTTTCATAATTTATTGTTTATTTTCAAACTCATGTAATTAATGTTATGATGCGTATCATTTCGCGAACTCAAATTGAGAAAGTAATGGGTGGGGAAAGTTTTAAGCAAAACAGAAATAATAAAGGCTGGTTGTTATGTAATTTTTAACGAGGAATTTGATAATGACTTAGCAGCTTTTTAGGGGTTTCCATACTTTTTCCCCATCCTGTGGAATTATGTATGAAATAAACTCACCTTCATGTATTCGTCCTTGAAAGACTCATATATAGCTCGACTAGTTTCGGGAATCAAATCACACAGAGTTGAAGCACCAATTCCTGTACTGAACTTCAAATCTTGTAACGAACGCCCAGTTGCCAAAAACCTAAGTGTTGCCGCTAATCGCTCCTCTGGCGAAATACTATGCCTCAAAATTGTATCCTGTTTAATTATTATTTTAGGTGTTATTATTGTCAATAATTTATCAAATGTGTGTGAATCCATTCTCAAATAGTTTTTGTAGTCGTTAGGATAATTTTCTTTGAGTTCGTGAACAAGGGGCATATGCCCGTACAGATTCCGATCTTTTTTCCACTTCTTAATCCATGTTCTCATATAACGCTTTTTGCCCTTCTTTTTCAAAATTCTGTAGTAAGTATACATAGTAGCGATGACAATAATTCTTTTCTTTTCAATATTCATCCCTAAAATATTTTTTAATACATAAAATTTGTAAAATGTTAAAAAAAAAATCCAACTTACCTGAAAATCGCCGTGTCAATCACGTGAGATACAATACACTTTTGTTGTTCACACACATGGGATGAAGCCTTGCCGTTTTAGGCCGCGAGAAAGAATGAAGGATAAAACCATGTCTCTTTTTACTGCAACGATCTTAGCGCACCACGCTCCAGTCCTCTGTCCCGAACGTGCGATTAGGTACCTTTACACTTACACTCTTTCGCGTGGGTTTTGAACGTGACGTTCCAATCGTGCGCGCAAGAACGGTAATGTAGATGTGAGTCGGGCATGTGCGCAAACACTTCGTACTTTAGTAAAGACTTGATTGCGGGAGAAGAACGTGAAGGTTTTTTGCGCATAATTTGAGTGTGCGTGAGTGATTGGCACGCGGTATAACAAATAAAATAATTACATTGTAAGTAAAGTTTATTATTGTAAAATTGTAAATTACATTTTAATTCATTTTTACAGATATTTTCAATAAATACTTATTTTGTGTGCCATGGGAGACAGTAGGTACTGGTTTATAAGGCATTTTATTGAAGTTTATAAATCGTATCCGTGTCTATGGAAGGTCAGGTCAAAAGACTATACAAATAAAAACCTAAAAAATAAAGCTTACGAGAAATTGGTAGAGGTCTGCAAAACCATTTTTCCTGAGGCAAATAAAGACTATGTTATAAAAAAGATTCAAAGCTTCAGAGGTTCTTTTCGCAAGGAAGTAAAAAAGGTGGCAGAATCAATGCGAAGTGGAGCTGGGGCAGATGATGTCTACATACCCACTTTATGGTACTACGACGTATTGTTATTTACCAGTGATCAGGAAATACCAACCGCTAGTATAAGCAATATGGATACAGACGAATTAGAGGCAGGATGTGACAATGGGGCAGGAGAACATGCAGAGAATAATGAATGCCAAATACTACAAGAGCATAATAATGAAAGTGAATCTCAGGATACTGAATTACAAGAAAACACAGACACAGGCGTAAAAAAAAATTTATTAACACAGGTGAGTTATAATAATATAAATTAAGCTTTTCCTTTCTTTATCATGTCAAGTTGCCACGGAACTTTTCCTTCCAAATTAAAATATTGTTTGTACTTCTCGCGATTACTTTTAGCGTTTATTGTTACATTTTTTTGCGTACTTGTTCGTAAACTGGTAAGTTCGGTACTGCTATTCCGCCATTCACCCATTTGTAATTCGTGAGTCGCCAAATCTTCGTGATCAAACGATCTGGGAGGTGCATAAGAAGTCGTGCGTCTTATAAGAAAATTGTGCAAAGCACAAATAGCCAAAACCACGTAGGTGATATTTTGTGGATCGGTAATGTGTATGGCTGTGTGTAAAACTCGAAAACGTGCAGCTAGTAAACCAAAAGTATTCTCAACAACATTGCGTGCACGGGATAAACGGTAGTTAAAAACTCTATTTTCCAATGATAGATCTCTTTGAGGATACGGTATCAAAAAATTTTCGTGCAGTGAAAATGCTTCATCGCCTAAGAAAACGTAATTAAGATGTTTCTCCGTTTCATCATTATTCGGCAAATGTAATTGACCTGAAAAAATTATCGTTTTAATAGAAAAAACCTCTTGCATAAAAAAATGACCTTTATTTTATACCTTTTGTCAATTTATCATAAAATTCTGTGTACTCCAAAATTCCTCCATCGGAATGTCTTCCATTTTTCCCAACATCGATGTAAATAAATTCATAATTTGCGTTTACAAGCGCTAGTAGAACGATGCTATAAAAGTTTTTGTAGTTGTAATATTGAGCTCCCGAATGAGGAGGCGGAACAATGCGTATATGCTTCCTGTCAAGGGCTCCCCCACAATTTATAAACTGCCATTGATTTTTAAAATCCGATGCTACTTGGCACCAATCGTCTTTTGTTTTTGGAAACTGGAATAAAATAATACTTTTAATTTTTTTTTTTAGAATTCGCATGCTTCACAATCAAAACCACCCCTTTCCACACCCAAATCTACAAACGTGACCACAAGGCAAAAAGTCAAGAGCAACTTTAATAAACAAAATGCTGAATTCATGCAATTTTGCAGAAACCAGTTGCAAATGACAAACAATGTTATTAGTGAATATGATGCAGTTGGAATTTCATGGAGCGAAAAATTAAAACGGATGGATTCCACTCAAGCCATTTTGGCCGAAGCATTGGTTAATAAAGTTATGACCCAAGGATTATTAAAAAAGTTGACATGTACTACAACCCTGTCGGATACAGAGGAGACACGAAATACTTCAATTTCATCCTGCAGTCGATACACGGTATTATCAAATTCTTCTGGTCAGCAATGGCAGTTTACATCACCATCAGACCAGGACTGTAATCAACAGAGGCAGGTTTTATCACCTTCGGAGCAAGAATCTGATCAACAGTGGCAGGTTACATCACCACCAGTGACAGAACAAGCAATCGAGACCTCTTCAACAAATATAGTGGATTTTTATAATACTGCTGCAGATAATATAGATGGGTAAAACCCCTACCTAGCAGCAAATATTTTCTTTTTTAAAGTTGTTCTTTTCACTGTTCTTTTTTTCTACGAAACCATTTATTTTTAAGATATACCTACTTGCTGTTCGCTAAAAAATAATTATGTTTTTATTTTTAATAAACTTACCTTCAAATAAGTTTCTTTAAGAACCTGATATATGGCTTTGCATGTTTCGGGTATGATGTAGCATAAGGAAGATGGTGATATTCCAGTAGAAAATTTAAGATCTTCATAGGAGCGACCTGTCGCTAAGTAGCGTAATGTGGCAGCTAGTCTTTCCTCCGCACTAATACTTTCTCTCATCTTCGTGTTTTGTTTAGAAATAATAGGTGAGATCAATTCTAATAATATATTAAATGTATCAAAGTCCATACGAAGATAATTTTTAAAATCACTAGGATAATCTTGTCTTAGTTCTTTTAATAGTGGCATGTGACCATATTTGTTACGATCCTCCATCCATTTTTTCACCCATATGCTTCTTTTTCTTTTATTATTTATAAAATTTATTTGTACAGCCATACAAAGAGCCACTTTTAATTTATGCTGCTTTATTTTGTACACTTTTTTATATCAATCCTTTCAGAATTTCTAAAACGCCTGGAGAACGGTCAAATCCGCGCGATAACCAACACTTTTTACTTTACACTGACATGTTTTTCCTTTTACGTTATATACGCGCGGTTAAGTCTGCGCGAATGGAACGTTGATTTTTTTATTTTTCTAGTAACACACTCTTGGAACGCTACGTTCTTGAAGCGCATTATTGGCCGCACGATTGGAACGCCGTTCAAACCCCACGCGAAAGAGTGTAAGTGTAAAGGTACCTATTGGAGCGGAACGTTCCAAGAACGCGTGATTGAGTGTACGTGTGAATGCCGCTAATCCTTCCGCTATTGGTACAGTATCTATAACCCCTCACCCATAAATCTGCCGTTATTTTTAAATGCTTGGTGAGCACAGCGCCCGATCTAGGGGGGGGGGCAAACCAGGCAATTGTCCGGGGCGGCAAAAAAAAACCACACCCTACACAAAAGTTGTTAGAATATAATATAAGTTATGGAATCCTGTTGGTAACATAACTATGTGGTACAAGCCCATTATTCCAACAAATTGAATTGTATGGCAAGCAAGTCCATTAAGAAATATTTCCTTTTTACTTTTTTTTTTCGATACAGCTCTGTTATTATTATATCTATAAAGATTAGAATTATATCGAGGCACAGACAGATTTTGTTCAATACTTGTAACCACTCTTCGTTCCTGCAATAATGTCTGTTATTTTTTTACCATACGACGTGTGCATTCTTTATCTGGCGCTGCGAACAGGATCGTTTTACGCCTTCGTGGAAAACATCTGGAAGTTTGTACGAGCCCAGCCAACCATCAGTAAAATCTTCGAGATTCATCAGGTGAGCTGAACTACGTCCCTTCTGTGTGACCAACCATTGTGAGGTAGGAAGTATCCACTTCCGTAAGAGAAACGATCTGAGAACCTGAGAGCCACGTCCGAGGTGCCTGCAGAACGAGCCTAGAGAAACAGAGAGCTACAAGAACCAGAGCAGTCTCCGTTATGAAAAATTTGATTTTTCACGTAACGCTAGAGTAAGCCAAATCCATTTTATCTATTTAGTCAAAGAAACTTTTGGTAAATCTCCAGTACGAGAACGATCACCCATTAGAAGACAACCAGTAAAAAACCAAGCTAACGTTAGAAAGGAATTCAGATCAACCATGGCTGACAATCCACAAATGTTATTTAACCTATTGAAAGATAGTGTGCCTATTTTTTCTGAAACATCAAATAATTTATCTGTATATTTACGTAAACCTAGAGAATTTGTTGCCGCTTTGCATGGCCCATATGAAATTCATGCTTTATCATACGTAAAATCCAAACTACAAGGAGAACCTTCTATTATCGTTGAATGAAATAATCCTCAAACTTGGCAAGAATTTAAAGAAATTCTCAAAGAACGTTACAAAGATTCAAAATCTGAATTAATGCTACTTGATGAACTTAGAAATTTATCCCAGTCCACAGACTATATGAATTTTCATACTGAAATTTTGCAAAAATTACATATTCTTAGAGAATATGCTCTTTTGGAATTTTCTGATGTAGTTGCTCAATCTAGAGTCGACCTTTACACAGAAGCTGCATTAAATTCATTTGTAACTGGTACTAAAGAACCATATAAATCACTCCTATTTAACGCAACACCTACAACTCTTAAAGCTGCCATACAAATTTGTCGAAAATACGATAATTTACAAATACAATCGCAATGCAAAGTATTTACTAAACAAAATGCCAAAAATACTAACGCCATTCAAAAACCGAAACCTACAAATACCGTTCAAAATACACCTATGTGGCGATTCCCTTCAAACCAACAATTTTACAATCCGCAATTTTACCAACAGCCACAACGATCTAACTTCCCAACTGGCCCGATTAACATCAGACCAAATTATTTTAATAATCAATTTCAAAGACAAATTCAACCACGACAGCCTAATTTCTATCCCAAAAACTTTAAACCGACACCCATGTCTACATCAACTATTACGAACCGCCCCTCGCAACAACAGAATCAATACCATCCTAACTTTTTCTCAAATCACGGACAAAGACCAAATTTTATCGCTGAAGAACTAACCAACACCGAAGCGACCGAACAATCACAAAACGAACAAGAATACGATGAACAGCAATACTATGATCCAAATTATGAAAATTATGACCAACAAGAATATGAAAATTCAGATAGTAACCCTACTGTCGAGTTTCCCCCTGAAGAGACAACTCAAAATTTTCCGAAAGCCCCAAATCAAAACCCATTGACTTAGATCTCAATAATTATGAGAACACACATTTGCCATACATTTATTTACAAAATTTAGATTTGCTAGTTCTTATAGACACTGGTGCATCTGTCTCTTTGATCAACACTCAAATTGCTTTCAATTATTTTCCAGATTACATTTATCCAAAACACTTTTCAATAAAATCTGTCATTGGTACTAAACACGGTGAATACGCTTTGCGAATTCCTTTGTTCAATGAACATGGCATTAACACTGAAATTGAATTTCTCATTTTAGACTGGCACGAACGTTTTGACTGTTTGCTAGGATATTATGATCTACAAAAATTTCAAGCTACTTTACAAACATCTAAGAATTTGCTATCCATTGATCGTTTAAACTTTATTTGCCACACTGACAAAATACCACGTAAAGTCCCGAACACTGTAATCAAAAATCAAGTTCTAAAATCCCCCATCAAAAATGGACAAATTATCGTTCCACCTATTAAATATCTAAATTCTAACGATTACACACCCAAAATGATTTGTACCGTTAATAATTACGAAGTACTATACCCAGAAAATCCAAATCTATTAGATTTAAACTATCAATGCATCAAATACGACAATTTGGATAATTACGACATTGAAACTCCCCAGAATGAATATAATTTAACTGATATTGGAACTTTAATAAGAACTGATCACATGAATGACGAGGAAAAATACAAGATAACAGAAAATTTCCTGAAGCTTTTCTAAAACCTAACGAAAAATTAGAGCCATGTACCGTAACAACTCATTCTATCAGAACAAAACACGACGACCCAATATTTGTAAAATCTTTTCGCTATCCAGTCTATTTAAAAACCGAAATTCAGAAACAAGTCGCTAAACTTTTGCAAGATGACATCATCCGTCCCAGTACAAGTCCGTACTCATCACCTGTATGGATCATAAATAAGAAGCCTGACGCTTCCGGTGTTAAAAAATATCGCATGCTAATCGATTTTCGTAAACTAAATGACATTACTATCGAAGATAAATATCCTTTGCCCCGAACTGAAGAAATATTAGAGAGTTTAGGCAAAGCCAAATATTTTTCAACGTTAGATCTGGCACAAGGATTCCATCAGATTCCTATGCACAAAGACTCAATTGAAAAGGCTGCCTTCACCGTCGACAACGGGCACTATGAATACTTACGAATGCCCTTCGGACTGAAAAACGCTCCAGCAACAATCCAAAGAATGATGAATTTTGTTTTAAAACCTTACATCGGAAAAATATGTTTCGTCTATTTAGATGACATAATAATTTTCTCAAAATCATTGCAAGACCACCTTATTCATTTGAAATCTATATTTCGAGCTTTAATTAAACATCAATTGAAAATACAACTTGACAAAACAGAGTTCCTAAGAACAGACGTTCAATTTCTGGGACAGGTAATAACGCCAAACGGAATTAAACCAAATCCGGATAAAATCAGATGCATTCAAGATTTTCCAATACCAAAAACTATCAAACAAATTCAATCATTTTTAGGATTTACCAACTATTACAGAAAATTCATTAAAGACTTTGCCAAAATTACCAAACCTTTCACTAAATGTTTAAAGAAAGACGAGAAAATCAACATTTTAGATCCTGATTACATTCAAGCTTTTGATGTAATTAGAAAGACTATCACTAATTCACCCGTACTCCAATATCCTGATTTATCAAAAACGTTCACGTTAACAACCGACGACTCAAATATTGCGATAGGACCTATCAGTTTTCATTCAAGAACATTAAACTCTGCTGAACGACATTATTCCACCATTGAAAAAGAACTCTTAGCCAATATTGATTCATGCGAACACTTTAGACCATATTTATTTGGACATAGATTTCTGATTGAGACTGATCATAAACCTTTGGTGTGGTTATCAAATTTGAAAGAACCAAACCAGAGATTAATTAGATGGAAAATCAAACTTGAGGAATACGATTTCGAAATCAAATACAAAAAAGGCAAAACAAATTTTGTTGCTGACGCCTTAAGCCGAATCCAGATAAATGTTCAGGATTATCTCGAAACCGAATCAATGATCCCTAACGCACCCGAATCAGAAATGACTATTCACGAAACAGACAACAGATCAACTAACACGAGACACACTTCGCCTGAATCAAACCCAAACTCGATTCAATTTTCAGACAAAAACTTTTATGCCTATCCTCGCCGAATTCAATTTATAACAGGTAAAAAGAAAAACAAGATCAAATTACTTCCCAATAAGACACTAAGGTGCTCTTTAATTAATCACTTATGTTCCTCATTTATTTTGGATTGTATAAAAAATTATTGTACCCCTGGTATTAAATACGGAATTTGGTACGACGATCAGAAAGTTTTACCCATACTTAGTAAAATTATGACACAATCTTTTTCTGCAAAACATATTTTTTTTTTTTTTTTATTTAACTATCCGCTTCAACCTTATGGTCATTAGCGGTGGAATTGATTATATTTTATAAATAAAGTTAGTGGCTTTCAGAAAATTTACAAGATTTGCTATGCTACATTTTGGACCTAGAATTCCTATCAGAGTGTTTTCTAAGTTGAACGTTATCCTATACACTTCAAGCATTGGGCACTCCACTAGAATGTGCTTCACTGTTAACTGCACGTCACAAATTTCACAAATAGGCACAGGTTCTTGGGCTAGAAGATATCCGTGGGTGGCTCGTGTGTGTCCTAGTCGGAGTCGTGTGATGGTGATTTGCATGCGTCGGTTGCTGGTGATCGTTTGCCATGTTCCAAAGCTCGGTTTTACATCCCGTAGTTTAGATGGCTTGTTTCTCCAGTTATCATTCCAGTTCTCCATTATTTTCTGCTTTAGATGCACCGTGGCGTCACAAGCTGGTACCTCTTCGATGGACAGGATTGAGTTGTTGATAGCTGTCTTTGCTTTCCGATCTGCTAACTCATTACCAGGGATCCCTATATGTGACGGCACCCAAAGGATGGTGATATTTTTGTGTGGGGTGTCGCTTATTTCGGTCTTGATTATATTGACCAATGGGTTTTTACAGTATATTGTATCCAGTAGTTTGACAGAATTTAGTGAGTCCGTTATGATAATCCAATCGTTGGTTGAGCTTTGTTTAACATACCGAACAGCTTCAAGTATGGCGTATATTTCACCAGTGAGCACTGTAGCTGACTGCGGCAACTTGCTTTCCACAATTGTTGTTGGAGTTACTATAGCTGCTCCTACATATGTGTCTGATTTGGAGGCATCTGTATATATTTCGCTGTAACTGCTGTATTGGTGTCGAATGGTTGAAAAGTGTTGGATGATTACTTCGCTCGGAGTGTCTTGCTTGATAAATTTGGTCAGTTTAATGTTGATGTTAGGAGGCTGAATGGTCCAAGGAGAAATAGATGAACTGGTAGTGGTCAGGACCGGAGGCAGTCTGTGTATATGTAGTCGCCGTAAATACA